ATCAGATACCTTATAAAGCTCCCAAAAGGAAATTTTATTAAATAATTGTGTTTTAACAGTCACAATAAATAAATCATTGAAAAACAAAATAAAGTAGCTCTAAAGAAAGCATGCTGGACAGCAGAAGTCCTGCTCCAAAGGTGGTTTCCCAGTGCAAACCCAGTGGAACCACAGATGGATGTCACGGAAGACACGCCCAAGGTAACCAGTTGTTTTAGATCCCCTCCACCAGAAGGTTTCCTTCATGCTGATCTACGTCAACAAAATGAATAAATTATACTAAGAGTCGACAAATTGCAGTGTGTCTTCGTGGCGCACTGCTAAGAGCAGCCACCAGGTTAATATTTTTGATGTTTTGATCCCCCGGGTTCGAATCCAGGTTGTGCCGATCTTTCCTTTAATATATATTTTTTATGTAAATGTTTTCATACGTGGCTGTGACGTGGTGCTCACTTATACAATCGTAAACGCTGCAATGGATTTGTGATGCGTTTTGTAGATTTTCAGCAATATGTTTGTGAATGTGTGACGAATCAGGGAACTGAGGCGGACACGTCTGCAGCTGTGAAATGAACACAAACACGCACGCGTAGGGAAACCAGTAGGTGGAAAAACCAGTAGGGGTGTACCACCGGCAGTGAACGTGTCAAACTCATTCAAGAAGTCTGTAAATCATATTTAAATCTGATAATACATTAAAAAACAGGGAAATGGAGGGAAAACAGTCTATAAATGATAATTGTAGCACTTAAATTGTACTTATAACGCCACTCATCTATAGCAAATTGTAAATTGCCTTATTTGAGGAAATTGCACTTTCTTGTTTCTTGCTCTTCTGAGTTTGTACCCTATGGTTGAATGCACTTATTGTAAGTCGCTTTGGATAAAAGCGTCAGCTAAATGACATGTAATGTAATGTAATAATGTAATTTGAATTATTTATTCAAATACATTTATAAAGAGTTAATTTACACAGACAGAAAATATCAGGAAATTCTTATTCTTATGTAGCATTCAAGACTTAAGGCCCTTCAAAATGTCATACATGAGCCAACTTCCTCTAAAATCTCATTCACGAGCCAACTTCTGGTTCATTTGAGATGGCATTTAAAAGTCAATCAATAGTTAGGTAATAATTCCACTTCAGGCTGATAGCACACCACCTCAAGGTTTCACTCAGTGATAACCAGGACATTCTGATGTAGCATTCCAATATTAAAGCCTGTCAAAATGTCATTCGTGAGACAACTTCTGGTCAATTTCAGGTTTCATTTAAAAGGAAACAATCAAGTGGGCGGCACGGTGGCGTGCAAGAAGGTCCTGGGTTCGATTCTGGCCTTTCTGTGTGGAGTCTGCATGTTCTCCCCGTGTCTGCGTGGGTTCTCTCCGGGTTCTCCGGCTTCCTCCCACAGTCCAAAGACATGCTCTGGGGATCAGGTTAATTGGGGACTTTAAATTGCCCGTAGGTGTGTGAATGTGAGTGTGAATGGTTGTGTGTCTCTGTGTAGCCCTGCGATTGGCTGGCGACCAATCCAGGGTGTACCCTGTCTATCGCCCGAAGTTGGCTGGGATGGACTCCAGCCCCCCCGCGACCCTGTGTGCAGGATAAGCGGTTTGAAAATGGATGGATGGATGGAAACAATCAATAGGTACATATTAATTCCACTTCAGGCTGATGGTATACCACCTCGAGGTGTGACTCAGTGATAACCAGGACATTCTGATGTACCATTTAAAAATTGATGCCTTTCGAAATGTCATATATGAGCCAACTTCTGGTCAATTTCAGATTCGATTTAAAAGGAAATGGTCCATAGTTACTAAATGATTTCACTACATTGTTACACAAATGTAGACAAAGGTAGCTTTGCAAAGGTGGAACGACGAAGAAAAACAAGGCGTGAGCGATGTTAGAACAGTGAATATAACTTATTGTCAACGGCTCAACACTTGACAATTGAAACGGAAGCAAAAAGGCATCAGGGTCTCAAAGGCCAAAACAATAAACAAAAACCCCACCCCAGCTAGAAAACAAAGTCTTTCTGGCCTACCGCATGAAAAGGAAAAATACTGACCGCCCTGTGTATCCACAAAACAGGAGATAAAATACAAACAGAAATAGCAGAGAACCCATACACGCTTCCCACACATTAATAGTCTGCCCTTAGCCACTATACCCAGAAGTGAGCCAAGTGAAGTTTACATTGCAGATTTCAAAATGAAGAACATCTTATTTCATCTAATTTTATTTCAAGCGAAAAGGAGATGAAGAGACAGAGGAATCAGGTGAGGGGGAGAAGATTCAACCAACGTGAAAGAGGTTTCTTCACAAGATTTAGAGCTACCAGAAGCTGAGAACAAACTTAGCGAACCGGCTACGGTGACTACAACTGCCACAACTTCAACGTCCACTGGAGCCGGCCGAGGGAGAACATATAGGCCTATAAAAGCAGCTGGACAAATAATATCCTTTGCATTTAGGTGCAGTATATGCATAAAATGTGTTTATTAAACGTCTAGCAGCCCCGCATGGCGTCCCTGAAGCAGCGGCCTCAGTGTCCTCTGCTGGGATCGGTTGCTCTGGACCTGTTAGGAGAAACACACTTTTTCCCCTTAGTCCAGTTAGAACAACAGCCTTCAACTCCGCTTTAAAGACTTTAAGACTTACAGGAGGATACAGGAATTCCATCGTGTGCAGTAATTGCACGTATCTTTCCTACAGCTGTCAAGTTGTTCCAAAGTAGGGTTTCTCACAAAATGTTCCACACTAAACAGAGCCATATCCCGGACGAGCCCCCACTTACGTTACAGCTTGCCTATTGTGCCTATAGGGGGCACAGGCGTAACACACAAACGTAGACAGACAGTGAAAAACAAGGTGTGAGCGAGGTTAGATGAACGGTGAATATAACCTTTTGTCAACGACTTAAGGTGCAGAGAAACGCTGTTTTTTTACAGATCCTTTCTGTATTATTATGATCAAACACCTTCAATAAAGTGATATCACTAAAGGTTTTGAAGTGCGAAAACCAAAAATAAGCAATAACCAATTAATCTAATTTCCAGAGCATGTCTTTGTATATCAAAGGTGTAGTACAACAAGATCAATCCCACGGACCTATGACATTATTTTCGTGGTGCTGCTATTCATAACAGTGGAGTTATTGGATATTTCTCTACTCATCATTGACCATCAAGATCAATGAGATTTGTACAGCTCCTGCACTGGTCCCATTGGTCTGAAAAAGGGACGTACCACAGAACACCGGAACCACCGACCGTTCCACCGCCCGCGTCGCTCTTGGAGTTGACGGCAGCATCACGGACCATCACGTCAGACCGGCGATGCTTCCCTTACGTTTAACGGTATATGTGTTTTTTATATGTGTCCGTAGTTTAACGGCGACATCGCCGCTTCCTGCGAGGATGACGTTCACAGAGAAAGGTATGAAATATTTCACCTTTTTTCCCCCTGCGACTTTGAAGTATTGACGCAGTGCACTGCGGTGAAGAGAAGGACGATTTAAACATTTGTTACAATTGTTTGGTTTGATTACATTTAATTTGGCCGATGCTTTCACCCAAAGCGAGACCGAGCCAGACCCAGAACAACAGGAAAATAGAAAGTTATATATAAACTTATTGAAGAGTGCGGGGGGCGCTGCATCCTGTCTAATAGGATCCACTGACAGGTGCACAACGAGGTCATCTACTTGAACAGTGCACACTAAAGTCATTATACAGTAGATGTATAATAAGAATCAACAGAAGCATCGTCAATGGCATTATAACACTATATTTCTAGTTTTGTGGCTTTCACATTGACACTTATTTGGCCCACCGGCCAAAGAATCTGTAAGTAGTTCATTAGTAAACCTCAAAATGACATCCCTTGCATTTTACGTTAAGTTGTGCCTTTTAAAATGCTTTTAATTTCACATCTGTCACTGTTGCAAAAGTACGGGGTAAGATCAGTCTCAATGATTGCAAATGCACACAGAAAGATTCGCAAATGCGCACAGAATAATTCACAAATAATATTCGATTTACAAATGCAAACCGAAAGGATTTACAAATAAATTACCGCCGTCCGATTTGTTTGTGGATTGTATGCATTTGTTTGTGTATCGCTTCACATGTTGTGCGCTGTTTGGTGGCGTATGTGTGGCCAATCTGATGTCTTCCTCATTTTCATCCAATCACATGAGCGCAGCTCCGCCCTCCCGCCCCACTAGCATGCTAACGCTACTGTTGCGGAGGCGAAGCGACGGCTCAGAGGTTAGCAAACAATGGCGTCTGGCAGAGACTCCCGCAGATCTAATGTAGGTTCTCGCTTTCAGTGCAAGTGTGAGTGAAACATAATTATTGTACCACCCCCCCCCCTTGGTGTAAGACATGACAAGTTCATGAACCATGAATTATTAGTTTTGGGAAGTTATAATGTTAGCGGAGATAAGATAGAATAAGAATTCTGTGAATTATTCAAAACTTCTTATTCAGTTTAATCTTGTAGCTCCATAAGCTTAGCTAACAAAGCTAGTTTGCGAGCTAACTAAGCTAGCTAGTGTTGTCTAACGTTACATGCTAATTTGCTACTTCTGCTAAATTACAATGATTGAAAGTGACTGTGTGAGTCTGTAGCCTCAAGCCAAGGTAGCGGAGTTTCTTGCATTGCAAATTTATTAAGGAACGACATGGATAGATAAATAAATGATAAAAATGGATCAAAAATTGTTGCTACCAAAATGACAACTTTAAAATCTTTTAAAAGGCTAATTTATTCACTCCAACATTAATGCTAACTTCATCTTAACCCTTTCTACTGGCTAGAATCATCTAACATCGGATCAAAGGGTTAATACTTCACAGACAATCAATCTTTGAACTCAGTAACCCATTCTTTTGTGTTGTCTTTTTTACTTATTATGTTTTGATATTATATTCCTGTTTTAATTAATATGTTTAAACAAGCAACATATTGCCAAGCGTATTTCCAATGAGGCTATGTTGTGTGAAGTTAGTAATAATGCCTGTATATTACTTAACTAAGTTAACATTAGCTTATGATGCAAGGTTGTCTATATGCATTAACGTTACATGGAAAAGCAGTCAGTTAACGCTTGTATTAAAATACATCCATGATGCAACATATTTGACGTAACAATAATTCCCAACTCGAGCGTAATTAATCAGGCACGCCATGAAACTTTAAACTTGTTTCACTAACACTTAAAATCGCACTTGGTGCATTTGTGAGTTGTTCTGCATGCATTCGCATTCATTGAGACTGATCTGACCCCAGACAAATGGGCCCTGCCTGTCGATGAGGGCGTGAGCGGAGTCAAGAGAGGATGAAGGAGGATGAGATTAATGAATACAGACTGTCAACCCGTATTGAGGCAATTTTTAGAAAAATCCACCCGAGACTGAAAGCACAAGATGTTTCTCAACATCGAAGTGTCCCACCCAAATTATTCACATCCTGGAAACACACGGGTAACTCCTCTGTGGACGGTAACAAAACGGATGTTTCTCATTGACATTTTGATCTTAATCTTCAAAAGATCCTGTTTACTGTAAATTAAACTTGAATATAATTTGGTCTCTCGCTGCGGGCAAGACCAAACTACAAAGTTATTGTATCGTTTGATTACAGAACTGGAGGCTGGACATTCGACAGTCTCCGATGAGTAGTGATGTGTCGTTTGTGAACGATTCGTTCATTTTGAACGAGTCCTTACAAAGACTTGGGAGTAACGAGTCCTCGCGTAGAGAGATTTGTTCTTTCCCGACTGGGTCTTTGACGCGACCAGAATAGGGGGAGACCATAGGAGTTCCAGAAACTGCAAGCACAGGGCACACACTCGCAGTCCCAGGCTCCCGGGAGACATACAGCTTCAACATATTGATGTGACACACGTGAGTCTTACGACGTCTGTCTGGCGTACCAACAGCATAATCAGTGTCACTAATCTGGGACTCTACCTCTTAAGGCCCCGAAAACCTAGCTGGAGGGCGGACCCAAGAACCGGCAACAACAGCAAGACTAAGTCACCTGCCTGAAATGAGCGGTGAACTGACTTTCGGTCATAACGAGTCTTCATCTTCGACTGAGCTGACAATAGAGCTTCCTGAGAAGAAGCACAAGCCTTGTGCAAGCGTTCACGAAATGCATACATAGTCGAGCACATTGTCTTGCGGTTCAGTGGTCTCTGCGCCCCACCTCCCACCTGTCACTCTGGAGTAGTTTCACGCGCTGCGAACAAAAGCTGTGGGAGACCATCATCCCACTCTCGAGCAGAATAAAAACAACAAGTTCAGAACATTGACCTCAGCGTCTGATGGAATCTCTCCAGAGCCCCTTGAGGTTGTGGATAATAAGCACTGGAAACGGAACGGAAACGGAACGCACTCGTTTCAATTCATGGTTCTGAAAGTCTTGCGTGTGTTGCCGAGCAATTCACCGCCACGACAACAGGTGGAGTAACGCTTTTTTATCGAAGACGACCTAGAGAGTGACGTCTTTTGTGTGTGGAAGTCGTTGGTTCATCATAGACTTTATTGCCCCGTGCATCGCCACTGCTGCTTTTCATCGCGGACACATTTGTCCCGTATTTTGAATGAATCAGATGCCATCCGCTCGTCCTTATAGTCCGCCAATGACGGGTCTTATAAGTGGTCACTGTTATGCATTTCTCCCGACAAAAGCTCTTCAATCTGAATCATAAAACTGTTTAGGCTCCCACTGTGTACAATGACAAATTGACTGTAACCAATTGCAGACCAAATGTTTATCATTCAATATTTCTTTTTTTTTGTATTTGTTTTTTGTAGACATGGCAATGAAAAGGTTACCGTTACCCAGGCACCACGTACCTGTAGAGATTATTCTGGAAGGAGAGCATGAGACAGTCATAGCTGCTGGACACAAACACCTGACCTCATTGAACTTCCAAAATACGGTATGGAACATATCGGACCGTTTTAGCTTACAATTGACGCAACAGATGATGTGGCGATAATGACAAGTTGTTCCTTCTCGTCACAGACCTCTGTGGAAATAAGCGTCCCTTGGTCCGACCCAAGACCGAGTGAAGTAAGAGAACATAACTTAACAGCAGTACTCGTTGATATGCTAGTCAGATGTGATTGTAATACCTCAAACACTCTTTCTCCTGTCACCTAGGATCGCAACTTTAACATCACGGTCGTCCACAAAAGGGAAGCAGACAACGTGTTTTTTCTGTGCGGGACCAATGGCATGAAGACGCTGTGCTGTGACATGGTAGGACACTGAGACATGAGATGCACGGGTTATGTCACGGAGAGGAGAGGGAACATGTCCGTTTGGCTGTCACCACGTGGGGACTTAGCGAGGGAAAAATCAGCGGTGACGCTCCTCTGTCTGGTGTCAGTAGCTGTCATTGCCCAGTATGAATATGGCCGCTTCTTCTGTGTATTTGAAACAAATTGAATCAAAATTGTGCTTCCAGATTAAGAATAGCCGGAAGTAGTTTCAGAACCTTTGTGTTTTCTTGTAGAATCTATCAGAGCAGACACCCAGGTGCCTGCCCTCTCAAAATAAGAGGAACATAAAAGACAGCATACGGGAATTTGTCATAAAGGAAGGTGAACCATTTGCCCTTGTGGGTGAGTTTCTGAACGCACAAGATTCTTTGTAAATTGTCAAATAACCTACTCTTCTCAGCACTACTAACCTTGCCCTAACCAGCTCCGCACTGTTTAATGATTTGGTCGCCTTGTTCATTGCTTACAAGGAGATTGCGCTGGTCCAGCTTGTGCCCACTATTCACTCCAGACTCCAGTTTACCACCACTGACATCTCAGCCAGTGCAGATGTACCTTGTCTTTCCTCTGGCATTTGCTTATCACTAAACATTTTCATGAAGGCCAAACCGGCGCCATATGTAAAAGTGAATTGACGCCAGCTGCTAAGCGAGCAGAGCAACGCTGCTACGATAGCCTAAACTTTAGAAATAATGTGTTCTGTCTTCTGCAGATTCCCCAGACAGTGATCTCTACATTACATACTCTGGATCCCAAGAGAATGTTGGCATCTACAAGTTCGGGAAACACCGAATTGCTCCGGGAAGACACAGTAAAGGTATTTGCATGGAGAAATGGTAGATTCACGTTTTTTTTTTTTTTAAACACTCCAGATAAATCTCATCATCAATCCATTAACGTGTACTTTGAAATACATGTGTTCTATGGAATTGAGAGAAAACGTAACTGTTTTTCTCTCTTTAGAGCAGCACTATGTGGGTTTGGTGCTCAGCAGAGAGAAAGAGCCAGATAAGAGCAAAGTCTATGCCTTCTATAGGGAGAAAAACAAAGACCAAGGCATGTACAGTGAAATGTGGCTCGCCTTTGTGACCCGGGTTTGCACGGTACGATCTGCACTACGAGGAGACTCCTGCTGAACCTTTATGAATATCAACATTTTCATCGCTTCGTGCACAATATGTGCTTAATCCCTTGTCTGCATTGTTAGGTGGACCGTGGCGGATCTAAGAACATTCTGCAGTTCAGCTGGACGTCCCAGATGAATGCCAGGCTCTCCTGTGGGCACGCTGACAGCAGACAGCATTTCTCTGAGCTGGTAGACGTGACTACTGTGCACGCAGAGCAGTGGGAGCAAACCAGAATTTATGCACTCTTCAGAAATGAATGGTGAGACGCCGTTATCATTCATGCATTGGAGAACGGTGGAGGGTTGCACAAAGACAGACCTATTAATTAATTAATTAAAAATAAATGACAGCGTAAAACTCCAAAAACTTAAATGTAAAACCTATAAAGGAAAAAAAAGTTTAAAAACCCCAGACAGCTTAAGCTGAATCCACACTTGACTTGTGATCTATTCTGGCAAAACGTGGCCTGTTACGCTCTTACCAGCATCCTAAGCATAAAGTTTAAGGACATGCTGTTGTTGTGACTTTACACAAAGGGCAGCGTCACATGCCCTGTCAGCCAATTGGAACGAACCATAAACACTGACCCCGAGATGGAAATAAAAATGGTTGTTTACTGAGAAGTAAAATGAGAGATGGGGTCAAGGTCCAAGGTTCTTTATTTGCATTTGTGCATACACAGCAGTCCAGACACAGTGGAACCCTTGTGCAGGGGCTGTCTCACTGACAGATGGCCAGGCGCTGTTTCCTTGACCGAGAACGTCTTGTTTTGTATTCCTCTTTTCATGCCATTTTGGTCGAGTTTCTCCTTGACTCAGCCCGTCTGATGTTGTCAGCTGTTTTCACGCCTTGACCAGCAGGACAAAAGTCTTTGCTGACCGGTCCCCCGTGGCTGCAGACGTCTCGTGTCTCTGTGTTCACCCACTGACCCCTGTGTCTCTCTGCAGGGGCATGAGTGCCGTGTGTGTCTACACCATAGAAGACATTGAACAGATCTTCAAAACCTCCCCATTTAAAGACGCGGACGAGCAAACAGGCCGGCCAAGAGAGGTGTGTGGCAAGCAGCTTTATCTGAGGTCAAAAATAACGGCCGCATCAACTCGACACCAAATGATTCCTGGAATTAATATGGCCGCTATCTTTCAGCCCATGTGGTTCAAGTTTCACAATACAGGCTGTAATCAAAGAGTCGCACGCTTGACTTCTTTTTCTTTTTATTGATAAGTCATCTCCGTGTCAGCACTTCATGGAACACAGCCGGATGGTCTTTAAGGTTGTCACCAGTATTTTCAAATGACCTTTTGTCTTTGTGTATTTTAGAGTAGCTTTTATTGTGACTGGTGCTACTAGAATCCCCCAAACCGCATTATAATCGTTTGGTTTTAGCCTGGTATTATTGGGCTGTTTTATGTTGTATTGTAAATGCACTCATTTGTCAAAATTCCCCACTTTTACATCCCCAGCAGCATGAGAGATAGAATAACCTCTTAGAAACAATGTCAGTGTCAAGCTAAAATCCATCTAAGTGGTCCTCAAATCTGTATTTCAGAAGCCCTTTCATGAAAAAAAAAAGTTTTTCCATCATCTCACAGAGCTAACAATAGCTTCATTAGCTTGACCATCCAGTCAGTAAAACTAGCCGAAGCCATTAGGTGAAGAGCGGAAGCGTGTTTCCCATTTAATAACAACACAAGAGGCTTTTTTTTATTCTTCTGAAATAGAACAGAAGCTGTTCAGATGTAATTGATGTTGCAGCATCTGTGCTGGCTTTGGATGACACCATTGTCTGGAACAATAAGTCTGTGTATGCTCACCAGAGACTGTGGGTGTCTCTCACACACACACACACACACACACCCTGCCAGAGTTCAGATGGCGTGGACGATAACGTGTACAACCACGCGGAAACGGGCAGAACAAGCGTTAACTGAACCCTCTCTTCCATCAGTGCGTTGCAGACTCAACAAATATTCCAAAAAACGTCCTGAAGATGATCCAGATGAATTCGGAGATGAAGGAAAGTGTGCAGCCTGTGGACAACTCTGGCCCGCTGCTCTCTAATCACCACCTCTACACTCACATCCACGTGCACGGCTCGCCGAACAACCGCCACCCCACCGTCCTGTTTCTGTCTCTGAGTGAGTTGTCAGGGAAGTTGTACTAAGCATTGTGTGCTTTACTGTAATAGTCTACATTGTAAAGGTTATTACACACAGAGGTTCCTCTTAGTAGTTTCAACAGTCTATGGTTTCACATTTTAAATGAACAAATGTTCAGTTGTAAATAGTCGCTCAAACAGCAACCGGTGTTGTAGCTCTTTATAATATTTCAAGTCTCGTAGTGAACAGGACGAGTCTGTGTGCGCCTATGACCCAGAATAAGACCTGCAGGTTTGACCTCTCGTGTGCGTACCTGCATCTCTGGGGTGTGGTTTGAGCTTTTGGTTCTTTCCCATGATGCATCGTGTGGAGTATCACACGTTTCTCTTAAAATGTGCCTTTTAAACAAGGTGAGGAATAGACTACATCACATGTCCAAGCCTGTGAGTATTGCTAGCCAGTTGTCATAAAGGATATAGTGCATCAGTCACATTACAGCATTGTGCAAGTTACAGTTCCACCGTAGAGCCGAGCGCAGCAGGGCCTGACTGTGGCGTACGGAGTACAGAGGGTGCGCCGGTAACTGCAGGTTTGGCGGTTCTAACCCCGGTTGCCAAATGTTGTGTGTCAAAGTGTCTGTGTGCAAGACACCCCTAACCGCTCTCCAGGCGCCTTCACAGCAGCACACTGCTCAATGGGTTAAATGCAGACAATAATTTCCCCACGGGGAAAAACAACAGATCATTTTTTCTTTTAATCCAAACCTTTGATGATGGAGAAGTCATATAGAGGATTTGAGTGAACTGGTTTGTGGGAGGAGGTTGGGTTTAAACAAGTTCACGTATTTAGTCATCTTTCTTCCTGATACAGATAATGGAGCGATTCATAAAGTGATGCAAGATGAAAGTCGGACATTTGTCATCGCTGAGTATCAACCTTTCAACCACAGAGCCCACGTCGTCAGCATCCGCCTGGACCCCCCCTCTGTAAGAGTGCTCCTCCTACACAACTATTCCACTAAACACAAGGGAATATTTGTACTCATGTACACCAATAGCTGCAAAATATTAGTAATTAGAAAGACAGGTGTACAACTTGTTGATGTTTTTGGATGAAGTCCCAACTTTTCAGAGGATATTGATGATTTAATCTTAAATAGGAGGTTAAAAAAAACGACTTTGTGCTGTGTCTTTGCAGAGGAAGCTGTATGTGAGCTCCAGAACTGAAGTGGTCCAACTGAATGTGGCAAACTGTTCCCAGTATGGGGACAGCTGTGAGCTGTGTGTCTTGGCCAGAGATCCCTACTGCGGCTGGGACGGCACCCGCTGCACCCCTGAGACCGAGTAAGAGCCCTTCATGTACCCCGAGACTTTCATCTAAATGTCCAAACATCTCACATCTCATGTGTTTAGGACGCAAGCCAAACTGCACCATGGCTCCAAAGTGCTGGTTATTGCAAATTAGTGCACCTTATTTTCATATTTGACCACTTTCTAATTTCTGCCATTGAAGCTGTTGAAAACAGAACTGAAACGAATAGTTCTTAGTTTCACACCACAAACACAACAGGTGAAGAATTAGGAAGTTATGCAAGGTCTCTATGTTGTCACTTCCCTGTTCAAACAGCAGTCAGGTCCGTTTGTCGTTATTTAAATTATGTGATTATTTGAACGTTAAGGTGATCTGACCTCCGATCGGCTTTCTCCACATTCTTTATTTGCATTATTTGAATTTTTATCATCAGAACATTCTCAATTCAAATGAACGTTACCTCTAAACCTCACAGACCACATTCTCTGTGAAAATAATTCAATAACTATAATTAGATTTCTGCAAATGTGATGTGTTAACTTTGGTACTGCTGCTACACACAGAAACATAACCACCCCCAGTCAACCCTGAAGGGGAAGGGCTGACTAATACTTGTAACTGTGACTCGTAGTGCATCTAATGTGGTGAAGTGCAGCAGCCCCCCATGAGGCCCCCTCACCAGGTGACGAACTGCAGTCAAGACCTGTGTGAAGTATCACAGCGGAAAGAAACTACATTAGAAACAGCTAGAGTTCTGCTTTTTGATGCACAAAATGTTCCTCGCTGGATAAATGCTTTGCAATTAACATTTAAACCACAGGACTGATCATCTGTTCCTCGCATAACTGTAATACATGAATGTGTGTCGTTGTCGCCGGACTGCATGAAACGCGGAAAACAGCATCAACAATTAAAATTGTCCAACTGAAACAAGTTTTTTTGTTTTCTCTCCTAGATGGTTAGATATGTTAAGGCCAATTAGTAGTTTCCGGTTCTTAAACTGATATTCTTTTGCGGTTTACTGATGGATTACAACGACACTTAAGCGACAACGTCTAACCCCCCCCATACGCTGTTGCCAAATTGATTCGCTCAAAACAGGTCGATGGAAAAGCGCAATTCCAATTTGTTCTCCTGCAGCATTTCAAACGTTTAAAGTTTGCTTGAATGGAAACACAGCTCGTTTTCCAACTTAACTGTCATTCTTCTAACTCAGTCCCTTTACTTTCACAGAGGCACACTGCAGGATCTGACCCAAGGGAACCATGACATCTGCGCATCGAAGGTTCAGCCTCATCCAAAAGGTATGACTGTATTCTTGTGTTTACTGCAGTCAGGAGCTGCTAAGCTAACGGCTACAGCCTTAGATTTAACAGACAAACTCGAGGGGAATTGATTGTGCCTGCAACCCTATTTTCCAAAATGTCGATCGCTACTTTAACATCAATAGTAAGTCTGCGTGGGAATCTTTGCCTTCGTGGTCTCAGTGGACCCGTCGTTTCTGAATGCATTTGGTACGCTTATAACATACAAAACTCTACATTTAAAAAAAGTAGCAGAAGCTAAAAGCCAAAACATTCATCACGGGTTTTGCCCTGGGAAAGTAAATATTAGGATAGCTTTACAGCCACTATCTCACATCTTTTTAACTACACAGGCCTGTGTAGCTCTTCAATGAGGAGGTTGAACTCTTATCGTACCATACGTGTCACACAATATGATCAACCAGACAAACTTCACCCAAAATGTTCACTTGTCTGCACCATTTCAGTTCATGTGGAACAGACCATGTAAAGAATAACTCGACTATATTATAGGAACCCTTTAACTTCCCCAAGCCTCGTTCTGCTTAAGACTTCCTCTTGCACGCTGGAAGAGGCAAATCAATCATGCTTTGGTTTCTCTCCTCAGCGTCGGGACATTTCACCTCAACACATGCAGAGGAAGAGAGCCTCGTCACTCTTCCCCTGAAGGCAAAGTATTTCCTCCGCTGCCCGGTGTCGTCCCACCACGCTCAGTATACCTGGCACCACCATGGAAGCAGCACATCGTGCAGCTGGAGCGAGCAGTGGTGCCTCTTCCTGGTCGACAGCATGGGTCCCGAGCAGGAGGGAACGTACACGTGTGTGTCGGAGGAGATGGGGTACAGGAGAGAGTTGGCGCAGCACGAGCTGCAGGTGAGCGGCGAGGCGGCGGGCCGCTGGCGGAGCCCGCTGGTCTGGCTTTGTCTGGCGGCGGCGCTGATCCAGAGTTGGTGCTGAAAGAAGAGAACCAGGGCTACGAGCGACAGGTCCCAACTCCAGATGTGTGAATGGGGCCACATGATTACTAAAACGAGTCTTTTCTATTTCAATTTTATTTTCAGCAAATATTTTGAATTAATGAACGATGTAGTATCAGTGTGATTGCGTTAATGAGCCAGCATTGTTTTAGTCTCAAGCTTGCGTTAGTCTGTGCATCAGCAGCGGGTGTAAAAGCTAAAACGTTATTGATTTTGTATTTGTATTTTTGTACTCAGGACTATACACCATTGTACAGCATTCAGAAATGTGTCCGTTAATTCAACTTAATCCACAGCGAGTTGTACAGCTCCAGATAAACAGCCTTCGCCTTGGATACATGTAGAGTTGCCACTGGTAAGCAACGGTGTCCTTCTCAGAATACCGGATGAACTTGGGCGAGGCAGTGAGGAAACCACAAAGAGCCACGAGTCTCGCCATACATCACAAGCGCCCCTGAAATATTACCGTTTCCTTTGCTGAGAAATTCTCTCCTGCGTACTACCTCGGCCTTGCCTAACAGTGTCAAGCATTGGCCATGTTCATCTAGACTTTGCTTCCAGCACTTTAATTACTGCAATAAATGTACGTATTTAATTCTTCGGCTTGATATCTTTGTGTTGCAATACAAAGATGTCACCATCTTGTGTGTTCTGATCTGCAATGTTTGACTTTTAATTTTCTCTCACTGAAGTGATAATTGTGCATTGCTCCGTTTGGCTACACACAGCCAGTGCACTTCCTCAAACATAACCCGGGAAACTGCTCCTCTACACCACAAAGGCGCCTCATGGGCTTCTCACACATCTTTCTACGGGTAAAATAAAAAGGTTGTTTGTTTTGGGTGCATTTTCCTTCACAAACTACTGGCCCTCAATTGCCCCTTTGTTCTGAATAGCACGCAACAGGAACTGGTGGAAACGTTAAAAGAAATAAACGAGTTTCAAAAAACGTTTTTCCCAACATGCATTGTGACATTCCAGTTCGCCCCCAGTGTGACATTGTTCTCGGAACAGTGATGTGTGGGTGTGGGTGGGGGGCCCATGAATGACCAACGTGTTTTCACTTTCTGTAATCGAGCCCCTGGGCTTGTGGGGAAACCCCTCAGATACAGAAACGTGCAGTTTGTGAGGCGGATTAGTTTTGCATTTCTCTGAGGTGAACCGGTGGGAATCCTACCTTTGCAAGCAAGGAAACTTTAAAGAGTAAAAACAAAACACATGAAGTAAGATATAAAGTAAAACTTTATCATGACATACAAGTTTAAAGCCCTGAGAACCATATCTTTATATTACTAATATAAACAAAACTGAATGTGTAAAAACCACTTTGGAAAAGTGCTCCTCTTAAATACAATCAGCACAAAACAGTTTTTACAAGCATCCATGTGTTTGTCATATCTTTTTTTGTGTTTGCTTTAATCAAAGAGAAAACTATAATATCAGTAATATCATTACCATGTCAATAATAATAACAGTACAAAAATATGCACAAACCCCACAGTTGAATTAATATACGGAGCATTGTACAAGCCAAAAACAACATAAAATCGATAAATGAGGTATTCGATAACCACTTGCATATGCGCCTGTTTTCACACAGATCAGGTTAGGTTTTTTTTAAACAATTTTAAAACTGAATTAAATCCAAAATCATCTGAGAGACAAAAGGTTCTGCAGACTTCCAACTTCACAGCTTCCTGAGTGACGAGACCTCGCCTACAGTTACTGACGATGCAAATCTCCAAAAATGCTAAACCCCCCCCGCCCCCTCCCCCTCCCCCCCAAAAATAAAAATAAAGTCGTTGCATTCAGCATCAGTCAGCACTCGTCCCCCAACGCAGCTTCAGCATTGAACGCATCAGTGACTGCAGCCCACTGCCCTGAGGTATTGTGGTATGACGAGGTAGGGGCGGTCTCTAACGCACACACACTTCGTGTATATATAGCTATATAGCCACACACACACACACACACACACACACACACACAGTGAACAGAGCTCTACGGTGTCTTGAAGCCGTGCAGCAGAAGAGAAGTGAAGGATCGGCCCTCAGTACTTAACACGAACAGACAACCGCAAAGTGACACATGACGTCCCAGTGAATCCACACGAGATTTGAGAAAATTGTGACAGTGGCGCCACCTGCAGCCATTACAAATGTACTGAAGGTTCAGTATATTCTCTCTCACACACACACACACACACACGGCAGTGAAGCAACACTGTCCAACAGCCAATGCTTAGACTAAGCAGATGAAACAGAAAGCATGGCCTTAGAAACAATGAAAGGTTTCAGTAACACGGCCTAAAGGATTTAACAGAGCGGTCACTGAAACAAACAAAACAGATAAATATCCATCCGTTGTCGATACAACTGGTGTCTGAACGTCTGATTGAAGTGTTCGCCACAATAAAAAAGTGATTACTCTCCGAAGGATTAATCTCTAAGAGAAAGACATTTTCCCCGGCCAGTCGACGAGAGAAAGATCTCCCCAGCAACTACTTTAAGGCAGCGTCTGCAGCTCTCATGAATCTGAATAAAATACAGCGAAGTGTCAGTTCTGAAGGATTCACCAAAAAAGGCCGTCCGAAAAGTCCCAAAAGTGAGCTCTGCCCGCAAAACATCTGCAAAAGCTGACACGTAACGGCTAACATAGTCTAGTAAAAGCAACAAGGCGGCCCACCAACAGTTCAAATGCCTCACAGTCAACACAGATGAAGCCAGAAGGGCCTTTGTCATCCTTTGCGGTGCCTCGTAAAAGAGAAGAATGCCTTTTAGAACAACTGGAGGAATAAGTCAACTGTTGCTGGGTTTTAATAAAGGGACCAGGCTCATGGGCCTCTGGCGGAGACGCGTCCACTCCGGATGGTGTGTTTAATAAAGAGAATAAAAACTGCCTCTATAGATCAGAAATGTGTGCCACGTAACCACACTGAGGCTTTAAAGCTGGTTATGAATGTACTTATTTCTACTGTTGAGTCCCGCCATGACAACACAAAGTGGTTTTGTTTGCCTGAGAGGAAACTCAAACCCAGATGAAATGTTGCTTGGTACCTGAAGGCCAAACCTCAGCGCTGTGCGGGGATCGATCCGGAGGAGCCACCTGGCCAGTCTTTGGTGTCTAGCTGTGCAGTACCCAGAGGCTTATGTGAACCAGGACATCAAGGTCTTAAAACGCTGGCCACAAGATTGTACACATGCATATCATTTTGCCGCTGTCGGGGGATGACAACTCGTCAACTGCGATTCAGGAATTTGCAGTCAAATTTAAGGTTAACAAGGTCGATTGTATAGTTTTCTTTTTCTGCTTTGACCTGCGGGGACCTCAAAACCTGTTACAGAAAACTACAGATCTACACTTGTCACACGAGGAACTAACTATTATTTTCCTCTTCCCTGAAAAATCAAAATGCAGATATAATCACTCTTCTCAGACAGCTTGAGGAACCAAAATAAAATTAAAACGAGAGAAAAGAAAAAAAAACCGAAGCAAGCATAAAACAAGTTACACAAGTGAGCGAGAAAGAGACTCAATCCCAGTTCCGGTCGTCCCCCAAAAACCACCAGCAGTGTGTCAGTTCATTCGCGTCCGTTCCAGGTCGGGTATGATTTCCATCACGGTGGGAGGGGCCGTGGCGTCAAGTCTTGGCGGCTTTGCGGCCGTGTGAGGTATGTAGTGTAGCTCTCCTTCGGGAAAGTCTGATGAGGTATTCTGGAACAGTCGCGTAGACTTGTGCGTTTCTTCAGGTGTCGAATCCCTTCCCCCTTTCTTTATAATCAACAGCGGTTTCCTTGCAGTTTGTCACCACTTTGCTTCTGAGAAAGGAGGCCCCCCCCCCCCCCCCCGCGCCCCCCGGGGCAGAGAGGCCCGTGTGACGCCTGAGGAACAAAGCATTGAAACCGCCCATGTCTGGCGCACATTGCGAAGGATTCACAACAATGGGGGCGGGGAGGGCAACAAGTTCACACCTGATTCTGGACCGCCTCTTAACCGTTCCCCCCCCAACCCCATGCACCGTTTATAGATAGTTTGTGCGGGTCGGCAATGAGTTTCATTTTTGACAGCGAATCCTTGTGCGTACTGTCCACGTTGGGAGGTGTGTGAATTCAACGAGCCCTCCAGCCGGCGTGACGGAGTGGACGCGGTCTGAGGTGCGTTACGTGCTGATCCACAGCATCCGATCGTTCACCCGCTTTGAGTCTACAGCGCGTTGGAGGAATCCGGGGGGCCACTGTGAGGCGGGGGCTCTGTATGCGAGGTGCCACTGGTCAGAGATACCCGACTTCCCCTGATTGCAACTCACACACACAAAAAATAAAATTAAAAAAAATATAAAAATAAAGTTGATTCAGGTTAAATATACTACAGCTCCTGAGGTAAGGATACCACTGCAGGTTACTTGATTTGAGGTATGTAAAAAGAGAAAAACTAAAAACAATAATCATCCTAAAAACACAAAATCCCCCCAAAAATGGCAACAAACAAACAAAATGTTAAAGATAAAACTATTCAAGTTCAGTTGTGACTACACCTGTCAGTGGGGTTTGGCTGAGCTGATTGTGTTTAGCATGTGCATTAGGATTAACTCGTGTGTGTGTGTGTGCGTGCATGCATGTGTGTATGCATGTGTGTGCGTGTAGCATTGTGTGTGTTTGTAGTGTAGTGCGTGTCTGTGTGCAGAGTAAAATGCATAGCTGTGCCGTCGTAGAAGATCTTTGGGCTCTGTGTTTATGGTTGGTGCCCGGAGGTTAACAGGGTCGATGAGGTATTTGTTGTGCAACAGTTTGTTATTCGTATCCGTTTCTCATTGTACTGTAGGATTCTTGCTGGGCCTCCCGGTGGAAGAGAGGCCTGGGGGAGCGGGTACAAAGGGCCGCTGCCGTGTTAGGGGGACCCGCCGGGGGCCGCCTCGGCGGAGCCGGGGCCCTTGGAGGAGGAGGAGGACGTGGGGCTGGGGGTCTGACCCAGCGGAGCCGAGAAGCCGTAGCTAGTGCTGGCTCCAGCAGGGGGGGCCGAAGCAGCAGCAGCAGCAGCAGCAGACATAGTGGGCCCCGGGGCCCCACCGGACTTCTGGGCAAACAGGGTTCCTGTAGGAGAAAGAGACGTTGCCGGCATCACTACAAGGGGCAAGTAAAGGATGTGCCACATTACTACGTATGAATTATATGTAGATCATTAACGAACCTGAGTAGATGGTGCCATTGACTTCCACTGAGACAGTGATGCTGGCATTTCCATTGGTGGAGATGCTCAGAGACATGTCCTGCTGCTTCTCATCTGAAAAGACATTTCTTTTTGTCAACATACTTTGATTTCCAATTTGAAATCAAGTAAAAGCGACTGGCCAAATAATTACGCCATCACTTATTTTGAAGATGACATCATTGGAACACAATGAGACAAAAACAAGTTATCACGTGCTACTTGCCAAATAATAAGTGTCTCTTTCTCAATGGAAACGCACTGACAAGCATGCATCATTTCAGCACTGACCTCTGGTGGTGATGGTGGGGGCTCCCAGTCGCATGTTCATGGGCATTTGGGAAGCCATGGCCAGCAGGTTGTGTTGGAAAGCCTGCTGCATGAGGCGCTGCTGCTCCTCGGCCAGCCGGGCCATCTTCCTCTCTGGTCCCTCTCCTCCTCCTCCGCCGGTCTCCAGCTTTTCTCTGAGCTGCTCCAATGTGGCGGCCCGCGCCAAACCCGCCACCTGCTGGTTGCCCAGGGCCATCGTCATGGAGGGTCTCGCCGCCATGATAGAGGGGGTCAAGTCTTCTGAAAGAGAAGGTGAGGGTTAGTTTATTGCGTATCGTAATGGATCCGTCATTCCAGCTAGTAGAATGTGAATGGTTGTCAAATCATAATAAAATCCCCATTTAATTTGAAACAGAAAACTGGTTGAATATCAATGAAGACTTTTTTGCATTCAGACTACGTTTGCTTTTTTGACTTATTTAAGTTGAAACAGATGGCGACCACCAGCGCAGAAGATACTTTCAAAACGCCAATTTAACATCCACTGATTCAAATGAAAACAAAGCAGAGACTGTGGTGGACCTGCACAGCATATTTACATCCGTTAGGGAGTGTGCCAGTAAAACGCACGGCTTCCGATATGAACCCATAAAACGCTTTGGCGGTAAAATACAGCAAATTACACAATTTAAACCTCGGACAACTGTCAAGTCCGCTGCCAAGTCACATTCCAGCGAGTGACATCAGATAAGCAGCAGGCTAATGACCGTTATCATCGGGATGCTACTGATGTGGACTGACTGCTTCAAAGCCCATAAAGTGTCCCCCCCCCCCCCCCCCGCCAGCGTGGTTACCGTGTTATTACCAGTTTCTAAAGGTAAGGGCTCCCAGAAGCCTGAAGCTACGTTGTTTCATACTTGGACTCTTAAAAACACCTGGATGGACGACACACACGCATGCAGGCATGCACGCACACTCAAGTCATAAAAAGACTAGAAAATTCGGGCACGCACACAAACACACACACAATGATGGCGAGACAGAGCGGAGGGAGGGAACAAGACATCTTGCAGGAATGTAATACCCAAATGTAAGAGTGCACACGCGTGCCAGCTTTCCTGCATTCCCACACACACCACCATTCATATACACACACACACACACACACACACACGTGAACGCACACTGTAGCACACATCTGACATAAAAGGGGCAGGTGCGGGTATGAAAACTATCATGGTTTAGTGACATAGTCTATAAATAATGTATTTCATGTGCTTTGCCGATGTTTAAATAGAAGCTACCACCCGAGAGCAGTTTTGTTCTGTTGTAGTTCTTCTAATGTGCGACAGGGGGCAGCACTCCCCAAAGAACAATTCAAGCTCTCTGCACATCTGCAAGTGGAACTCCAAAGTTCAATCCAACCAGGACACATTGTGTGGTAAACATTTACCCAGTTTAATGTGAACTTTAGAAAGAACTGAGCATTTATGCTGTTTTCAAGAAACACCCTTCCTTACTTTTCTCACACACACACACACACACACACACACACACACACACACACACACACACACACCTCTGAGCTCCCTGTTTACATGCAGGGTATGTTTCACGGACTTAAGTGGCATAAAGCCCGTGTGAGTATCGGAGGCTGGACGTTCTATTCGCCCCATCAGAAGTCACCGTGCAGATTGTGGTTCCTACCTTTCTTCAGAGAGTGTCCCGGTGAGCCCTGCAGGCCATTGAGGACCCCCGAGGCCCCGGCCCCCAGAGCCGAAAGGTGCATCTTGGGGGGCGACAGGATGTGGGGAGCCGTGCTGGGAGAGGGAGAGAAGCGGAAGAGGCTGCTGCTGTAGCTGGGACGACGGCCCTCGCGCCGGTTACTGTCGATGGCGGCCTGGAGCTCACCGGGCGAGCTGAGGCCTTTCCTCTCACACTCATACGGGTACAGGTATTTCATGTACCTTGAGGGGAGAACACAACACGAGGGTCAGATCACCACGGAAACGTTCACACGGCCAGTGTTGGCATTAAAAGATGGACACATCTCAGTAAGCAGAGCTTTAGCTTAATATTTACTCTTTAAGGGAACATATGAGTAAGAAGTGTCTGTGCACACACACATGAGTACCTGGAGCATCTACGGACCCTCAAACTGAAATAAGACGACCAGAACACTTTTTTTGTGGGTTGTTTGTATCAGAAAACATGTGATTCAACAATTCATTCCGATTCAGCCAAGTCACATGCTCATTACAATGTACCACCCCGCTGTTATGAGAAAAAAAGAATTTCAGCATTAAAGCATGTAAATCGGTTCTAACTGAAAATACAATTATGATGGAGAAAATGGGCATGTTGTGTCTCGCTTAATATACAACATGAGCACATAATACGGGCTGTCAGCAGATGTGAGGTAATCTCGGCCTTTGAAATGGTTTTTCAGCTGACCAGTGAGTGAATGAACAAATAAAGGGCAGGAAATCAGAAAGCGTGCTGGTACATCCAGCCAATCCATGAATGGATTTCCAAAATGTTCCAACCATATTTTTGAAACACATTTGTCTTCATTAAAGTGGAATCACTAGAGATGCGGTAGTCGGATCTTTTTTTGGTCAGTTTTTACAGACTAGATTCTTTCAATACTCAGTTATTTAGTTTGCAAAGTACAGCCAATGTCTCCCGCAGTGTTTCTCCCCAGGATCCCGTCAGTCACCCCTGCTCACGCATGTAAAAACCCTGTTTAAGCCCCTGTAACTAGCATACAAGAAGAAAAAATATTGTGATTCTAGCAGAAATGTTAATTGTTTGTGTTTAATTGTCTTAAACCCCCGACCCAGATTACAGAGCCCCCCTCACATGAAATCCAGTTACTCCAGAAAGCTGACCGAACCTTCTTACCTAAGTGCATTAAACAGCACAACGGGTGATGCTTTGTGTGCGGCGTGTACAAGTATGCGCAGTCACAGCTCCGGTCCACCCTACAAGAGCGTTGGGTAAAATGAACGTACAGCGCTGTGCGCGCTGGCTCATCGTGGTGGAAATGCAGATCAATACGAAGCTACGAGCAGCGTCCATTAGACAGAGCAACGGAGCACACGACGCTCCACCGACATTAATAATACACAAAGACTCATCAGGGCACCCGGCCAGTGGACAGCGGGAGGATTTCAATCGTGGAAGCGTTTTATTTGCTACTTGCCGTGCAATCTGTCCGTCAAACCCCACCGTAGTCATTGTGAACTCTGACCCGGATCACGTCAATAAATCTATGGGAATCGATGTGCTATGTGTGATGTAATGGATGGAGGGATAGCATGTGAAGAGGGAAAGGCAGCCTGGTTGAGGAAACAAATCCGCATGTGTATAAACACGACATCACGGGTTAATATTGACGTCCGACCTCGTACCAACACACACAAAAAGGAAATAGTCTTTAGTTCCTGCAAATTTGATTAGAGCCGATATAAAACACAAATCAGATTTTGACAATTTATGGCTACGGATCCCAAATGAGTGAATTCAACCCTTTTGTCCTTGTATTTTTTGAGACACAGATGCAAAGACTTACTGTGTACGCAGGGTGAAAGCGGCACTGGTGATGGAGGTAGGCAGGTTGAGTCCCTTTGTAATTTCTCTCCAGATCTTCTTATTGATAACCTCCACAAGGCCTCCCTTCTCCGTCACTAGCTTGTACAGCATGTACAGATCCAGGACCTGCTTGGCCATGATGGGGATACGATTGACTGGGGTTCCTGTGGAGGGGAGGACAGCCATGAAATAAAATCAATACGGTATAAATCATACATCTGAATTGAACGGCTTAGTGACGCACATTGAATGCTTTATGGTGGATGAAGTCCATTTGTGTATCACGTGCATGCATTTTTAACATGGACAATCCCGGTGGGAATAACGCAGACAATTCCTCTTGTGTGTGCATCCCTGCTCAGACATATCGGCTCCTAACGCAGAAAGTACATTCAAAGCTGCTGCCGTGTAAATGAAGAAGCAGGGCGAATCCTAAATTATGCAGTCATTCATCAGCCAATCAATGCTGAGATACCCAGAATCATTGCAGACCTCTACAAACCTACACTAAGTGCTGACAAGAGAGAAGGGTGTCCGGCCTTCTGCCGACACGTCTTTTAAATTTGGCTTGAAAACATATTAGCTCGGTTAAGGAAATCTGGCTTGACCTGGACGAGGGGATCCGCAAACACAGAGCCAAGCCGCTCTAGACTTTTGATACAGATGCATTAATCTTGTCAACGGCTTATCTGCAGGGAGGCTTGAGGTAAGCATGGTGGGGCTTGCAACAGAATCAAAAAGTACAATGTGCAACAGTGTAAGCATGAAGCGGGCGGGGACTGTGAGGGGGAAGGGGGGGGTTCCTGGATAGGCCGGTGTAATGAAGCTCATTTAGAGGATTGTACAGAGTAAATCCACACTCGGTTAGTGCGGCCGGGCCCCGGTGCACGGGGAGTCGCACAGATTTCCGTTGGGAGCTAATGCCGGCCAATCCTTCAGCCCCTCCACAGGCTGCTCTCAATCGGACGCATTAATCGCTGTGTAGAATAACAGAGTGATCAGGCCGCGAAGATTAGCCCCGATTCATTTTCTTAAGTTAGCAACATTGCCTTTAAGCCAAAGGGGCCGAGGCAAACACATGGACCTGCATACGTGTGGAGATGAGGACTGCTTAACGTCAGGCTGTCGTGTTTCAGGCGTCGAATAAACTAAAGCTTTTGCTGATCTCGTGTTCGACCAGAATCACGGATTCAGTTTGTCTAGGATGGTTTGTAGAAGGAAAAGGCGGGACCTGTGTTTGTGGGAGGCGAAGGAGTCTTATGAGCCGCTGTGCAAATGTCATTATGGAGCAGTGGCTCCCTACATGGGGGGAGGGGAAAGTCGATGAGGCGCAGATATTGAACGATCATTGTTTGGCACCACGGTTTCCTCACACTGCATCTCAATATGGTAGCAGTGGGATGAGAGCGTCATTACAGGCAGTCAAGACAACACATAAAGAGCAGAAATGCACATGTACCGGTACATATAGTACATATAATCTTATTCAATACATTCTTAGATCCATCTTAGATTAGGATTTCAAGATGACATAAGCTTAGGTGGTCTTGACCGGTGCAGAAAATGTTTTGGCAAATTAGCCTCTTATCTCCAGAGCAGATTAACAGTTAGCAAACCGTGGGGGCATTTTTTTTTTTTTAAATTTCAGAATGAAATCCAAACATTAATTGATACAACTTTTTAAAGCTTTTCGGCTGTGACCAAGTTAAACATGTAAACAGTAGTATAGAAATATGATGCCTACAGGTAAACTGCTCAATACATTTGATAAAGCTCCTGTTCTCCACTTAGATAACTCCTGTACGAGGTTAGAGAACCTGCGCTTTACCCTGAGCTTAACATAAACCCAAACATCACCGGGCAGTTGTCCCATTTCCACAACACGCAGCAGGTCACAGCGCCAGGAGCGCTCTGCTGCCGGCGCCTCAGCAGTTATTTAATGCAGCGTTGGACATCAATCCCGCATCAAACAATTAGTACAACCGGAGGGGTCAGAGATCAGCCGGGGGTTATTGATGTGTGAATTAAACCGCAGGTCAGCAGGAAGCCATGTTTTCATACTGGCCCGGACATGAACAATGAGAGCACAACAAATGAGACACAACGGCACTGGCCCCATAGTGACAGGCCAGCAGTTAGTTAGGCTTTAATTCACGGCTGTGCCTTTATTCGGCCCTTTATCAGCGGAAGCTGTCAAATCAGATCGGATTTCTTTGCATTTACAAGGAACTACTGTCAGGGAGTGTGTGACAGAGTAAGCCAGATGGCTACCTATATGTTTTCGGTGTACCAGAGGCACTTTCCAAACCTTAAAACGTAATTAATTAGCCTACACTTAAATCATTCGGGCGTCACATTTTAACGTGGTCCGAGCACATGTGAAAGCGCTGGGAAAGCCGCTTTGATAATATCGTAATTGACCAAAAATCACATTAGCAACACGTGGGCAGTTAGCCGGAGAGTTCCCCAATTTGAGAGCCGGCCTTTGGTGTCCAACATCTGCTCCGTTCCTGACCCTGGAGACATTTAGCTCTAACAGGCTTAATTAGACCGCTCCAAACAGTTTCTTTTTCTTTTGATCGCAGCAGCACAACTCCTCGGCCTCACAGTCGCTATTAATGTGCGCTCTTCTCCGCCGGTGTAGTTGTTTGCATTTCAGCGTCGTTGCTCACTTCACTTTGGAGAAGACTCTGGAGGCACCGGGAACAGCGCCGCCGCGAGACTGCTTCATTAAGCCACGCAGGCCTCTAGTACGCAACGATTGGGTATTTCACCTCCTCGCAAAGCCCTGATTTGTCCACTTCGGCTGTTTTGAGCCAATCTGTAATTGGCTGCAGGCTTCACCTCCCATCATCCTTTGCCCTGGACTGATTTCCCCCCAGGGACAGGGCCATCAGGAGCCTAGTGATTAATGGCACCAGGGGTCAGAGGTTGCTCTGGTGGGAAGTGCCGTGGCTGAGGGCCCCCGAACCACTCCCTAGTCCTTCCTCCGACTTCCACAGCGAACACAAGAGCCACACGGCTCGTCTTCAAACGGCTAGACTTCAAATGATAAGAGATACAGATAGAGAGGAGAAAGAAAGGGTCCAACAAAAGCAGATCTCTCGGGGATAAAACGGTGGGACCGGGTTTCATATTGATGCATGTTTTGATAATCCGTGCAGATAATCAATATCTTTTTACATGCTTAATTTCATGGCCGTGATGATTTCCCAGCAGAGAAACCATTTACATTATGCTGAAACACATCTTGCCATGGACACAACACAATGATAATAAAACACGTTCACGCAAACTCAATTATATATAAAATATGATGTAATCCTGTAAAAAGCCTTTTAGCCATCCTTAAGGGGCTGAAAAACATTGATCAGACCATACGCAATTTGTAATAATTACTGGCAGTGGCCCCATGCGCTCAGCAAAGGCAACAGACGGAGACAGCCTGTCCATCTGAATCAAACAGTCACATTTCCCACCTCACATCTCGCTTTCCATCTAAATAGAGAAAGAAAAAAAGAAAAGTAACAGGGTCATTTTATCTGACCCCTGACCTATTTTTAGTAGGAAACAGCTGTTCACATTAAAGGGGCTTCTATAATAAATCAATTGGGTGGCACCAGTTGTGGTAAATTGCATATCGCTGACTTCACATGATGGGCATTTTCTAAATTAAGTGACAGAGCGACAACCAACCAGCAGACAACACAGGAAATGCATTTTTCCTGAATGAGCACCGACTGGCGTGCGGTTTCACCAGCAGCTTCTGATGATCTGACAGGAAAGGGATCGGCACAGAAGGGGACTCCGTATCGCCTCAGGGTCTTTGGTTCATCCCGCCATTTATTCAGTTGGATCATTCTACTTTTTATTTTCCTTTTTTTTTCATGGATGTGTATGTTAAGAGCGCATAGGATGGGAAAACCATGATGGAGCAGGGTGGGAAAAAAAGAATAAAGAGACAGAGAGAGACTACAGAGACACTAAAAAAAAAAAACATTTTTGGAGCTTTCAGGAGAAGGGAGGATGGAGGAAGGAAGGGGGGGGGGGGGGGTGTAGTAACCTGCCAGCTGGAGGAAGACTGGATTACTGCTGTAAGGAAGGTGTCAGCCAACACAAACAGCCCGTGGGAGCGCCTGAGTCCTTTCAGAGAAACAACACCCCAGCCACCCACACCTTTCTTCTTTCTCCACCACATCCCCACACACACACACACACACACACACACACACACACACCAGATAACACCCGACCAGGGATCTCACTCTCGGCGCTTCACCTCCTCGGCTCAGTTGACGTACACTCACTTAACGTCCAACTGTTGGTCAGATACTAATGCTATAGCAGAAAGCGCGACAAGGACATGTCTGAAAAAGGGTGACGATAAAGTATTACTATGGCTGGTGGTTGAAAGCCGCCTTTGAGTGCTGCGATTCCTGCTTTATTTACAGACGCCTCCAAATTATAAATCCCTTCAGTTACAGAACAGACCAAACCCGTTGTGGGGGGAAAGAGACACTGACAGGTGAGACAAATACCTGGTCTGCACATGCTGCGTTTACACTACGCCGGGCTGTTTAGTTTACACGGCCGTGCGTCGGGGGGCAGCATATTGTCAGGGAACCTGCTCTGCCGGGGCATGTTTGTTTTATTTTTAATGCACGGCCAGGGACATAAATGGTAAAAAAGCCGAGTGTATGGAACTGGCTATCTTTAGTCCAGGCAGAGCTTGGCACTCGCTTGGCGGACCAATTCATATCAAGTGTTGAGCTATGCACCCTTCACATTCGGGGAAGTTAAATGCAACGTTACCCTATAGATACACCGCTATTCTAAGCGTGACGCTAACGCCACAGCTGATAGAGACACAGACAGAGATAGAAGAGAGAGGGACGGTCGGCTGATGAAGTCTACAATACGGCACCGTCGGCTGCATAGGCTTCATTCATTTCAGTCATGTCAATTTAGTGCAATTCCTGTGATTTGACGGAAGCAGAAACAGACAATAGGGTGAGGAAGAGAAAAAATTGTATTAGCTTTTGCCAATACTACATAACTTCAAAGATAAGGAACACAAAGAGCCAAGAAAACCAAGTCTGTGCGAGTTTCCACCCGCAAAAAGACCCTCATCGATAAAGGCATCAAGTCACATGAATCCATCCCC